CCCCAAAACCCCAAAACCCCAAAACCCCTAAATACCAAATTAGAAAATTCAAATCAAATAGATATTTATTATAAAATATTAATAAAATAGAAAAGGATTTAATAATTATTATGGCAATTGAAGAGTCAACAATTACTATAATCCTACTATTTGTAGGATCATTCCTTATGATAATTACACTTGAGCCAATTTACAGGGACTAGTTATATGAAGCAAGTGTGGATCTCATTATTGAGATCCAGTCAAAGACTAACCAAATCTTAATTTATTTCATGGAAACTGTTTCAAATCTGGCAATTGTTACAATGTTTGCCTCTATGATTGTTACCTATATATTCAGCAAAAGGTCAAGAGCATTTTATTACACGGCAGCTGTTTGCTTTAATCTCTACATGATGAGTATAGGGAAAATGGCTTATCACAATCCGAGACCTTACATGGTTTCTGATGCTATCTAGGTATTCGGCTGTTCTAAGGAATTCGGTCATCCTAGTGGGCACACCTTCAGTTCAAGTGCTATTCTTCTTATCATTATGTGGGACATTTGCAGTTCTCAATCAAATAAGAGAATAAAGAGCATTATCAAAGTAATTACAGTCATTAATATTCTCTTGATTGGATTTTCAAGACTTCATAATGGTGATCACACTTTAGATTAGATCTTCTTGGGCTGGGAATTTGGAGTCTGGCAAGCTTGTCTATTCAACTATGCTCTTAAAGAGCCTTTAATGAACCATATTAATAGAATCATTACGACTAAGGTTTCCACATCAGAATTTACTAGATACTGCCTCATTTCAACACTAATGTTTTTTGGAGCATTAGTGTCGATAGTTTAGACTTATGAATATGTAGAAATGACTTTCAAGGTGCCAGATGACTGGAGACAGAGACTTGATTAAAAGTGCCATGTTCCAGCAGATGATGTAATGACTTTTAATTCAGCAAGTTTTGTATAAGCTGGGACTTTCACAATTGCTTATACTGGTTACATTGGATCTCTTTTCTTAGGATAGTATAACATTCCAGTCATAACACATACTCTAAGAAAAATCATTCTACTAGTGATACTAGCTCTGCCAGGCCTTGGCAGTTCTGAATATGGATTAAAGCAAACTGAACCATACATTGCCTTGATTTTCGTCACACTTCTTCCCTGTCTATACTTTGGAGTTGTTATGTATTTCTTGATCGATTACATTTCAGGAGATTACTTTACATATTAAGTCAACCACCAACCTTAAAATTTAGAAAAATCACTTATCATTTAAAATCACATGATTTCCTTGCAATCATAATAAAATATCCAAGTTTACTACGGAAATATGATGGTTTGACATTAATTTAAATTTTTATTTCTTAAAATTTAATACCACTCTCATTTAGACTTAAACTTAAATTGATATCTGGGGTTTTGGGGTTTTGGGGTTTTGGGG